CTCTGTGTGTGTGTGTGTGTGTGTGTGTGTGTGTGTGTGTGTGTGTGTATTTGTTGCTGGGGATCAAATGTAGGGACTGGAGCATGCTAGGCAAATAAGTGCTGTACCACTGAGCTGCATTCCAACCCCTATTCGTTTTTATCCCTTTAAAGTCCTGGGACTCCAAGTTTTATAATTTAGTGCTTTGATTTAAAGGCTCAAGAATTTGTTTGGTTGTTGTTGTTTGCTTCTTTGTTTTGTTTTGGGCACTGGGGATCGAGCTGGGGACCTTATGCTTACCAGGCAGGTGCAGTGCCACTGAGCTAAATACTCAGCCCTCTTTGTTTGTTTGTTTTTTGTGTTGTTTTTTTTTTTTTTGCGGTACCAGGGATTGAACTCAGTACCTTGGGCCTGGAAGGCAGGCGTGGTGCCACTGAGCTAAATTTCCAGCCCTTCTTTGTTTTGTTTGGTACTGGGAATCGAACTCAGGACCTTGTGTTTGTGAGTTAGGTGTTGGAACCATTGAGCTAAATCCCTGGCCTTTGTTTTTTGATACAGGGTCTTCCTATGTAGTTGAGGCTGGTCTTGAACTCACTGTGTAGCCTAGGCTGGCCTTGAACTCTCAGCAATCCTCCTGTCTCAGTCTCTTGGGTGCTGGGATCACAGGCATGTGGCACCGTGCCTAGCTGGGCTCAGGAATTTTTTTCAATAGCACTTCAGGTTGATAATGGACTTTTCTTTAAGAATGTATAAGCCAAACTCATATACTGTAGAACATCTCTCTGAATTCTGATTGTCACATGAGGCTAATTCAGTATCTTGTCTCTCTATCTTATTAATAGCACTAATAAAAGCTGACATTCAGATCATCTTTATTTTATTAAAACTTTTGTTTTATTTATATAACTTTTTTGTGGTACTAGAGATTGAACTCAGGTCCTTATGTGTGCTAAAGCAACCTTATTCTACCACTGAGCTACATCCCCCGACCTCTCTTTTAAAATTTTGAGACAGGGTTTCACTCTGTTGTCCAGTGTGGGCTTGAGCTTGTGTCTCCTGTCTTAGCCCTTCAGGTCCCTAGGAATATACAGTTGTGTGCCACCATGCCTGGCTTTAATTACATAACAGTTTAGAACTTAGCATGTTCAGTCTGTCTAGTGCAGTGGTGGTGAACCTATGGTATGTACGCTATAGTTGGCTGCTATATCATTGGAAGCTCTAGGGCCAGGGATTTAGCTCAGTGGTTCTGGCGCCTGCCTTGCAAGTGCAAGGGCCTGATTTGGATCCTTGGTACAAAAAAAAAAAAGAAAGAAAGCTCTAAAAGGTTTGCTATTGCTGCTATAGTGTCTTATGTTTTGCAAACTGGCATTTCCTCAGTATATTGCAGTGCATTTATGAATCATTTGAGGGCCACATTTTGTCTTTTTCCTTAGTTCCTATGTACATGTGTGATGAAGTGGTAACATGATGTTGTTGATACATATTAGGATGCTCAAGAATTCCTTCGGTGTTTAATGGATCTGCTCCATGAAGAACTGAAAGAGCAGGTCATGGAAGTAGAAGAGGATCCTCAAACCATAACTGCTGAGGAGACCATGGAAGATGACAAGAGCCAGTCAGATGTGGATTTCCAGTCCTGTGAATCTTGCAGCAACAGTGATAAAGCAGAGAATGAAAATGGCCCCAGAGGCTTTTCTGAAGATAATAATGAAATGACAATGTTAATTCAGGATGAGGAAAACAATTCTGAAATATCAAAAGACTGGCAAAAAGAGAAGATGTGTAGTAAGATGAATAAAGTAAATTCTGAAGGAGAATTAGATAAAGACAGAGATTCTGTGTCTGAAACAGTGGACTTGAACAAGCAGGAAACTGTGAAGGTGCAGATACATGGCAGAGCCTCAGGTGACCACTTCATCATTTGATCATGAAAACGATAGTATTTTATTTATAGACAGTGCTTACGTTGTCATTTTTGGAATTTCTAATAGACTTACAATTTAGCAATATTTGCATGAGTGTCATAAAATTATGGACTATGAGGATAAGAATTTATTGGTCATTTAATTATATGAGAAAGTCATCTTCTTTTTAAACTAGTTCATCAGAAGTCTTTTAAAGATTCATAGTAGTTGGGGCTTAGCTCAGTGGCACCATGCCTGGCTCTCAAGTGAGTTTGATCCCCAGTAGTGCAAAAAAAAAAAGATTAAAGATTCATAGTACTGTGGAAAATTAGAAAGGGACCAAGAGATGGAGGAAGGGAGGAGGGAGAAGAGGGGTAGGGAAAGTAAAAAATTAATTTGTGTTATGTGCATGTTATGTAAACATGATAATGAAAAATTTTAAAAATTAAAAAAAAAATCTAGCAAATTAGACTCCAGAATTTTCCATTTTATGTTAAACAAATTCTGTTGAGACTTTGGGGAAAAGGAAAATAACCCAAGTTACAATTTTCTTACTCTGTACAGTACTGTTAGATTCAGATTGCTGTCATTGGAATTGCATCAGTTTTATTTTAGTGTAGCAGTTTAGTGAACTGTTATGCCATAATCCTTGTCAGTGTTCCTTTGAGAAGGAGCAGTTAGGCAAATGGACGATACTTAAATTATATGTTATAAATAAATAAATAAATATATATAAATATATA